TCGGGCCATCCTCTGATCTCCCCTTAAGGAGCCGTCTGTTCCATTATCCCTCTCAAACTTAAGCAGCATAAGAGACGGGATTATAACAGCCTTGGAATTATTCAGGGTTGGTCGACCCAGAATCATGTTGTAGGCCGAGAGTTCCTCTACTACTAGGAACCGGACTACCATGTGTCGTCCTTCCCCTTTTTCGCCCAGGCGAATGGGTAAATCTACTCGTCCCAGTGGGTGGACGACTCCTCCTCCAAACCCTATTAAAGGGTGGGAGGCCGGATGTATGCAGTCCGTCTGATATTTCAGTTTTGACAGACATTTGCTGCTGATGAGATCTGAGGAGCTCCCGGTATCTATGAGGATTCGGCCAACTCTCTGGTTGGCCACTTTACATTCAATAACGAGAGGGTCGTCATGCGGCCCCCTTACCCCTCCTAGATCCTCTTCAGTGATGACAATCTCAGGAAATGTATATTTGGACGGCCGTTCTTGGTGAACGGAATTTACATCTAACCGCCTTATATTATCTTTGTTGCCCCTAATAGTGGGGCCGCCTCCTGAGAAGCCGCCTGCAATGGTGTAGATGACTGCATCATCTGTATCGGAACTGTCGGCCTGTTGATTCTTTTTGGCCGACTGCTTTTTTGAGGAAGTGTTCCCCGTAGATTTCTTGACATAAGTGTCAAGATCACCTTGCTCAGCCAAGCGGTCTAGGTACCGCATGAGACTGATGCAGTCATTGGTGTGATGACCAACGTCATCATGATAAGCACAGATTTTGTCTTGGTTCCGGTTGTTTGCAGAACCCTTCATGGGGACCGGCTTCTCAATTGAGAACCGTCCCTTTATTTCTTTTAGGATAAACTGGTTATCCTTGTTAAACACATACTTTGGGGAGTATGGTTTGAATTCTTTTTTCTTTTTCTGGGACGGCATTTTAGAGGAATCAACCGCCCAGACCTCTTTTCTTTTCTCATCTTTGTTAGACGACTGTTTCTGTCGTCCGTCTCTTTTGTCGAATCTTTTCCCGTCCGACTGTTTTATCGTACACAGATCAGTCGCCTGTATATAGGCTTCTGCTTCAATCAAGGCCTCTTGAAGAGTCGCCACCCTTTTTCGAACTAAATCAAATTTGAAGGTAGACCCGTCTTTGAGACCTCTAAAAAAGTCAGTATAAGCTACCTCATCCGGTAACCCTTGAATCTGTATTCTCATCAGGTTGAACCGCCTGATGTAAGAACGAAGCCCCTCCTTTTCGCCCTGCTGAATTGTTCCCAAATCAAGGGTCGTTTTCTTCGCAGGGATGTTCATGGCGAAGTTGGAGGCAAATAAGTAAGCAAGCGTCCTGAAGCTGTTTACACAACCAGTCGGCAGGTTGCCGAACCATTGCTGTGCGATTCCCTTGAGAGTCGCTGGGAAACACTTGCACCAAGTGGGATCATCCAACCCTTGAAGGTACATCAGGTTGGTGAATGCCATCAGATGGTCTTCTGGGTTAGTAGTGCCGTCATAGGCGCCTACTAGTACATTTTTTACTTTGGCTGGCTGAGCGGCTTCAGTAATTTCCTTGGAGAAGGCAGACGGCTGTTCACCAAGTCTTAGCAACCGTAGCTGCCAGTCCATAGGTTGGACGTTTTTTGCTGCAGGTCCACCAAATGGAGGTGGCTGCATAAAATACTGTTGTTGCGGCACAAATGGTAAGTTTGGTACCGCCTGGGCACTATGAAAGCCGGACTGATGGGAGGTGCCGCCTGACTGACTCTCATGGTACGACTGAGTATGCCTCATCGAGGCATTTCGCAAACTGTCTTGAAAATTTGAAGTAGAAGCCGATTCTGACAATCGGTCACTCTTCTTCTGCTCTAGCAGTAGCCGAGCATCTGTGAACGTTTGCTTTGACCCGTCCGCCTGAATATGACGAACCGGTTTCCTATTTCCCGTAGGATAACGGAGTTTTGTGAAATCAAGAGCAGGTGGCTCCCGCTTCTTGGATTTAGGATGAGGAGTCGCCTCTCGCCCTTGAACTGGCTTCCTCTTCAGTGAAGTGGAAGGTTTTTTGGCCGACTGCTCTTTGACTGAAGCAGGCGGCTTTTTGTTGATCAACTCTTGAATCTCTCCCTTGAAGTCCCTCATGAAGGTCATGAGTTCGTTCCTTGTGATGGGAGCAGACCCATCAGTCGGCTGTTGCCGAGCAGGCGGTGCGCCTGCTGGCTCGCTTCCTGTTTGAAGATGCTCCCGTTCCCTCCTTTCGGTATGACGGGTACGTCGGGCCCTTAGGGTCCCGTCTGGAGCTGTATGAGTTTCCACTTCAAATTCACTTTCGGTATCATGGTCCGACTGAACTTGAGGGTCGTCTAGGGGACGCCTCTCTTCAGGAGTCGGTACAGACTTGGATGCCATCTCTGAAGTACTCTCCCCACAGACGGCGCCAAATGTTTCGGGGTTTTCTGATGTCCTGCGGGAGAGTTACAATTCCGAGACTGGAACCGGACGCCTGTACCTGCAAAATAACGGAGACTCCTGAGAGCTCCGCCTCCAACGGTCAAGTTAGTACCTGATTAAGGAGTGATTAATACGGAAATTAAAGTAATAAGATCTCTCTAGGTGAGAGTGTTTAATGTTGGTAATCTGCGTCGTTAGCGAGATTAGCCGGTTATTAGTGTTCCGTAATGTTTCTGTTCTTCTCTTGATTTCTTGATCTGCCTAATTAATGAGGATTAATTAAGTATTTATAGCCTTGAGAAGCGTGCCACTCTCTAGGTTTAGGGTAAACCTAGGGCTGACCGGGCCTCTAGACTGGATTGGGCCTTGTTGGCCGGTTTTCCCATTTGGCATGGGTGGACACGTGGCGTGCCTCGATTGGTCCGTAGAGGACGTATCTGTGATTGACACGTGGCAGGCTCCTATTGGCCTTCGTGAAGGACACGTGGCGGAACCTGGTTGGTCCACTTGTCAGACGGTGATTGGTGGATAAAAATCCCCTAATCAATTAGTTTTGTACAAATAATTTTATTTTCATTGTACTCTCATAGTGTTTCTTTTTTGAAAGAATACTGTTTATTGATGAACTAAAGAAACATTAATAATAAAAATCTTAACAGAAGTAATAGTGTTTGATTAAAGTTTAATGATTTTATTGTAAATTATTTTGTATTTTATAATTTATCATTTAATGCATCCTTATGTAGTTAGGCTAATGTTTTCCATCACATGTATGTTGGGTTTGTGTTAAACCTGTATTAGTAAATGGTTTTTTTTTTTTTTTTTGGATTAGAATATATTGCCTTATTACATTTACGTAGTCTATTATGTTACTAACATAATGCAATTTATATTTACACATGTTTTGATTTTAAAACAACCTAAGAACAAATTAAATGGGGGTTGTTAAACGTCGCTCCCAAATTACTAGGCGTCGCTCGCATTTTTTCCTTGAAATTCCGTATTTACCCTTCGTATATAAATACTCACGACACTTACAACACATTTCACGCTCGATAAACTTAAAAATCTGAAATTTTTAAAAAAAAACACATAAAATTCACAAAAATAACTAATATTAACTAATAATACTAATACTAATTATTCAAATTATCACAAAAATAATAATAATCACAATAAAAATTATAATTATCATACAAAAATTACATTAATAGATTTGATTAATTAATTTCAAAAAAAAAAATAAAAAAAAATTGGACATTTGCCTAAAGAATCTGGATCCTCCATGGTGGATCCGCCTAGAATTTCCAGATCCACCATGAAAGATCCGAAAATTCTAGGCAGATCCTCCATTACATCCGCCTAAAATTTCCGAATCTTCCATGGTGGATCTAGAAATTTTAGGCGGATGTACGCTTTTCAAAAATAATAAAAAAAAAATTCGAGGACTTACGAATCCTCTGACGATGCCTCCGGTATACGATCGTTGTCGTCATCCATCATTCTAAACCCGTCGCTAAAGCTTAATAAATTTTTTACAAAAAAAATGGGATTTTTGGTGGTGGGCTCGGGAATTTTGGGTTGGATGTCGTGGGATCGGGAAATTTTTTAACCAAGTGGTAGATCGAATGTGCTCGGGAATAATATTAAAATGCTCGGGAATTTTTTAACCAAGTGGTGGAGCCTTATATAGTCCAAGTTATGAAAAGGGCAATATGGTCCTTTCATGTCAAAATGGGAGCGACGCCTGGTAAATTGAGAGCGACGTTTAGCAGTTCACAATTAAATACACAATAGTAAAATTCTTTAATTGAAAAACATATAATTTGTATTTAGCCAACAAGAGTAACCCGTGCATCGACAGGCTAAATACTAGTTTACTTAATAAAGAAACTGTGAGAAGTTTATAGTACATATAGGTCATTACATAAGCCTTCTCTTTTACAATGTGTTGCCATTTATGTGTTCCAAAGTCTTTAATGTTGTCATTTGACCATTGGAAACCAACATTCTTCTCCCTTCTATTTTGATAATTAATTTAAGAGGGTGTCCAATCCGTATTCTTTATTTGATTTAATTAATTAATTAATTAATCTACTTTGATTTATTAATTTTATTGAAGTTTTAATTAATTTACTTTGATTAATAATTTTATTGAATTTTACTAACGCTCTAGTTGTGATGCTAGTTGCAAGGTAATCAAAGTGTTGTGAATTTGTGATGCTAGTTGAATATTAATCTTTATGTTTAATTAATTCTACATGTTTAACCCTTTAAATTAAATACTACTAAATATGCAATTCGTATAATAAGTAGCCGCCTATAAGAATTAGTGTATAGTCTATATGCATGCTTACTTCAATTAATTACCGTCATATGAGACACGGAATATGCAACAAATCTTTGTAAGTAGTGGTTTTCTCATCTGTTAGGAGGGCATTACAGATGCATTTGCAATGTGTCGCGCCTTTTGCATTCGAAGGTGGTCATGTTCATTCACAATGTCACTCACTGTTAAGCAAAGGGAAAAAAGCATCTTAAACAGAAGAACATGACCCTATCAGTTAATGGGAAGCGCAGGCAGCAAACTTGAGCTATGCAAAGAACATTAGAAAGACTCAAGCTAAACATTCATTCACTACTAGATAATAAAATAAAAAAAACATAAAACCAAAGCAACCGCCAGATTCCAAAACATTTAACGCTAATTAGTGTTAAAGCTCTCAACAAAACTTTTAACAAAGTTGCTCCGCAACACTCTAGGCTCTGGTCTGTTATTAACGGATAGTAAACAAAGCTTTTTTCTCAAAAACCAGTAACTCTCTTGACTGCAAATTCTACTCCTTAGTAGGGTTTAACAGGCACGCGGAAGTTAAGTCCGGCATAAACAGCTTTGTCACCAAGCTCCTCTTCAATACGCAAAAGCTGTACATAACAAAGATGGAGCATTAGGATACATCAATAAATCTATGCCCCAAAAACCCCACCCGTTGTTTCATGCTGTAGCAAAACTGCTCATGTCTCGCTGCCCAAACTACCTAAAGTAGAAACACATCCGTAAAGAAGTGTGTATGACATTGGTAAAAATATTGGGGCTACAACTGACCTGGTTGTATTTGGCAAGGCGCTCAGATCTACATGGAGCTCCGGTCTTGATCTGACCCTATTGACAAAAGAAATAAATAGGAAACATGTCATGACGAAGAACTGCATATTGACTCTATTAAAGGTCTCAAAATTAGCACAAGTGTAATACCGTAGAAAGACCAACAGCAAGGTCAGCGATGAAAGTATCTTCGGTTTCACCACTGCAGCCAATGAAAGTAAATCATAAGATCAACCATCCGAAATGTAGCAAAAGAATATGGACATTTGCAATTGTTTATACACAAACCTGCGGTGGCTGGTCATCACTCCCCACCCAGCATGTTTGGACATCTTCACAGCCTCAATACTCTCAGTCACAGATCCAATTTGGTTGACCTGGTCCAAAATGAAAATAAAGGGTCAAATACATGTTCATTACATGGTTTTATAACTTTTTTCTTTTCAAATGGTAAGAGACCCTAACTAGACCACAACCCTCTCAGTTATTTGGTCTAGTATTTGCGGGACAAGCACTTGGAATAGAAAGGAGGGTAAGGAATCCCCTACCCCCAAGCACCCTCACTTGGTAGGATTTGAATCTCAAACCTCTAAGATTTGAGGAACCTTAACAAGTGACCCAACACTTTGTTGGTACATGGTTCTATAATTGATAGAAGAAATACAATAAGCTTAATTACAGAAAAAGTATGGAAGGGTATCAGCATACCTTTAGAAGAAGAGCATTGCAGGACTTTTCATTGATGGCCTTCTCAACCCTCTGCAAAGATTGAATATTATTTAGTTAAATAAGGACTAAACTAGGCAGCTTCAAGCTAATCCTACAATACGAAATTCTAGCAGTCAAGAGAATACAATCATGCTAACCTTAGGGTTGGTGACCAAAAGATCATCTCCAACAATTTGTACTTGCTCTCCCACTTCTGCGGTCATCTTGGCATAGTGCTCCCAGTCATCTTGGTCAAAGGGATCTTCAATTGATACAATGGGGTATTCGGATGTAAATGACTTGTAAAGATCCTTAAGGGCAACCCCAGAGATCTTTTTTGATCCATCATTGTTCTGCAATATAATCAAAGCGATCAGCATTTCAAGCAAAACAAGACAAGGATCCAAAAAACTTCAGATAGGGAATAAAGCCTACAGACTACTCCATTATGTTATCAATCTTTACAAAATCAAACGAAAAACAAGCATACCTCTTCTTTGAAGTTTAAGTCATAGGTCTTGTCCTCGTTGTAGAACTCAGATGCAGCAACATCCATTCCAATGACCACCTTGCCGGTGTATCCAGCCTTCTCAATGGCAGTCTTTAGTAATTCAAGACCCTCCTTGTTCTCCTGTAAATGCAAAGGTAAAACATTAATAAATAGCCCTACAAACTTATCCACATACACTAGTATGTAGATGGACTAGATACTGAATCTTGTTGGTCACCTGGATGTTAGGAGCAAAGCCACCCTCATCACCAACATTGGTTGCATCTTGACCATACTTCTTCTTGATCACACTCTGGATTCACAGAAACGGGAAAAAGGAAATAAGTATTTACAGCTAAGGCAGAGGTCAAAAGTATGACGCATTACTGCATTAGATAAGGTATATACTACCTTCAAGTGGTGGTACACTTCACTACCCATCTTCATTGCCTCCTTGAATGAGGAAGCTCCAGTAGGCAGAATCATGAACTCCTGCATTGCAAGCTTGTTTCCAGCATGGGATCCACCATTGATGACATTGAAGGCGGGGACCGGCAAAACCATCTGAGGGTTACCAGCAACCTCTGCAATGTGCTGAAATTGGAGTAGAAAGAACGTTAGCACACTGTCAGGAAAGCAATACGAAAAGATACTGTACTCACCAAAGAACTAATCACCGTACCTGGTATAGAGGAATTTTCTTGGCCTGGGCTCCAGCCTTGCAGACAGCAAGAGAAACAGCCAAGATGGCATTTGCTCCCAACTGCCAGTGGCAAAAAGTTTCAATTAGGAAAGAAGCTCCAAAACATGAAGGAAATCAAGTACATTAAAGAAACAAAAGCTAATTTTTAAGAAGATAACTCAATCCTAACTCTCAACATGGGTCCTACTTGCAACCCGCAAAACAGCAAACCATACAAGAATAAGATTGAGTAAAAACCTTTTGTTTGCACCAACCCCATTCGTTGACAGTTCCATCAAGTTGTTGAACCATGAAGTTGTCAATGTCAGTCTGTGCGGTTGGGTCCTATATGATGAAATTAAGAACTATTAGTAGAAATCAACATAAAAAAGCCTGAATCGAAATGCAGTAGAATACACAGTCCTGTTTTGTAACACAATCAATAAAAAGATTTCATCCAAAAACTTTTTTTACTGAGTTCAATAGAAAAAAGTGAAGATCGAACATTAATAGATTCTCATCATTAAGCATACCTTGCCAACCAAAGCAGGGCCAATAATCTCATTCACATTTTGAACAGCCTACACATATACAACAACCATTATGAGCAAAACATAATTTGAGAATCGAAAGGAAGCTGTTATCACTACCGCCAAACCGAAATTAACACTAACCTTAGAAACACCCTTTCCCATGTAGTCTTTACCTCCATCCCTGAGTTCAAGGGCTTCGTAGACTCCTGATAATTCACAAGCATAAGTTGTCAAAACATGTGTAACTTCGAAAACGATAACCAATCAGCTGGCAATACAGTTTATTGATTCTACAACTGGTAAATAAACTTTAAGAAGTCGCAGCTATAGAGAAGGAGAACTCACCAGTGGATGCACCACTTGGAACAGCAGCTCTGGCAAAGGTTCCATCATCTAGATGAATATCAGCCTTCACAAAAATATATCCATACAACATAAGTCAACAAATCAATCACTTAAAATTCATTAAGTTAACACACCATCTACTTTCAGACTATTAATTACAAAAAATTCACTTGAATAAATCAGCACAAGAATGTCATGTAATAGCTCGACGCTTTAAAAAGATCAAAGAATGAAATCACTTGTTTTTACCAGTTTAATCAACACAAACAGTTCTTCTGTGGTTTTATCAAACAACTATAAACTCCCTTCAATTTTATTCTAGCAAATTCAATCATCCAGAAACAGCTAGAAATTCATTTAAGAAGCTAAAATAACACTAAAATACATGTAATCTCAACCATTTTGAAAACTTCAGTCCAAAACTCAGCTTGAATCCTGAATAAAATTTTCAAATAACATCACTTTAAGCAAATTATTGTGTCGATTACGGAAACATGAACCATTTATCAAAATAATGATAATAGTAATTCGAGTAATGATTATACAATATGTTAATCCATAAAACAGAGGCAATAATTAATTAATCTATGCAGAGCACAAAACTTTTCACTCCGTACTTCAACCAATATCAATATAAAACTATCAGTAGATCATACTAGTAGCAATAATAATACAAACATAAATGTAATCTCAGTAATTTAATCAAAAATTTCAATCAAATTATCAACTTAAAAGAATGAAAATACGAATAGAAATCATGAAAACAATACTATATGCGAAATCTAACGTCAGAAAATAACAAATTCAACCAAAATATTCCACCTTTACTCCGTATCTCAAACAAGTAAAACATCGTTGAATTTTTTTTTCCAATCAACAAATCATTTCAACAGTTATTATACAACAAACACGGTTAATTTTTTTTTTTTTATCATTTTTACAAGGATTTTAATCCAGAATTCAAAATACAGTTAAAAATTACTGAAATTTATGAAAACACTCATTTAATGCGAAATATCACGTCGATTATGGATATTATGAAATATTACGTCGATTAAACAACAATGATGATAAATCGAAGCAAAATCCAATTTCTTAACTCAAATAACATCACAACAAATTCATCACTTCAAATTTTCAGCAGTCATAACACAACAAACAACATCGGAAAACAAATCAATTAAAAATGGATGAAATTATGCAAAATAAATCATGAAAAAAACATTAGATTAACCAAAATCAAACATCGATTAATAGATCGAATTCCGACGATTATCGATGATAACGAGGTAGAAGAAAAAAGGAGAGAGAAAAAGAGGAGAGAGAAAGAGAGATGATACCTCAACGGTAGGATTACCACGGCTGTCAAAGATCTGCCTAGCTTTGATGGACTTGATGGCAACCATGGCTGAAAATTAATCGATCTGTGAGAAGAATGAGAGAGTGAGAGAGAGGAAGAAGACGGTTGGTGGAGAGGAGAGAGAAATTGGGTAGAGATGTTGAGAAGGAGACACCTTTTATAAAGCCCAACTCAGTCGAGGAAGTGTTCGTCTATCAAACTATTTTAGCTTTTTGATTGATCGTGACCGTTGGTTTTTGTACGTCTCAGATTGGGTTAATTGTTCATCAAGAAATTTTTATGAGATGAAATTATATTGGAATTTTCATATTCTTTTGGTTTTTCTTGCATGGTGGGGGTTTTCACATTATGACCTCATTTCTTGCTTGAAATTTTGGGTTTTAAGATCTTGCTTAAATGCTTATAGATGGGCACAGACACCGTATAGCCTCACATGTCATGCTAACGTGTCTCGTGATCAAGTTGGTCTTGTCTAAAACGAGTCAAAAAAAATAGTAAGACCTTTTTAAAATGGAGCCTATGTATAGCTTGACCCGCATGTCGTGTCAACGGACTACATAATAGTTTTTATATTTTTTGATAAATTAGTCAAATATAAGCGGACCAAAACACGAGACACCCCTGGGTTTGTGCTAAATTTGTAAACTGAAGCTCATGCACAGCCCATGGCCCAACCCCAACCCACTGGCGTGTCTCTTGTGCCATGTCGGGCTTGTGTTAGGTTGGACCATTTTCGTGTCATGCCTAACCAACCCTTGTGTTGGCCCGTTCCTATTTCCATCTCAATCTTGCTCACAAAATTGCTTTAAAATACTTTGACTTGTTTTTATGCCCGTGTGATGAATGTCGGGGCGTGGAATAGACATGGGTTGTCTTTGCACAACAAGTCACAACCCGACACGACAAAGCTTAATTTATTGAAATTTCGCTTAGACATGCACACAAGCACCACCTTAGAGTACTAAGTCATGGTACGATGGCACATGGGTTTGAGTTGTTCATGGATCAACGTTTTGAAATTTTCGCCATGACATGTAGCTCTTGGGTTGATCATAGCTAAACCAAGAACCAACGCGCCCATGGGCTCAAGCTCAACACTAGGCACGACTCGACATGGCTCACAACCAGGTTACCTTTAGGTGTACTGTGAACATGAGGTGAATATGGATGATGTGCTCCAATTAAGACTAAATAATTTAATTCATATAAGTTCATATGAAAAGAACGTGCGTGCTCTAACTATTAGTTTGGGATTAATTTGCACACTTTATTTTAGCAAAGACCCCAATATTTTATTACTATGTACGGAGTATATGTTTTTGCGACAAAATAATTAGGGTTTCACATTATCTCACATTCTTAATAAATACTATCTCCGTTTTTTTTAGTTAACACGTTTTGACTTTAGCACTATTCATACACTCCTTCTTGATCGTGTTTTGTGCTCTATACGTAATAAAAAATATAGTTACGTGGGATCTTGTTGAATTCGTCATGATATATATTTTCAAAATATCAACTTTTCATAATTTTTGCTTATCGGTAATTAAAGATATAAAAGGTTAAATTTGTGCATTGGCAAACGTGATTAAAGAAATGGAGGAAGTACTAAAGAGCGATTTCCCACAATATTGTTAAAAAAAAAAAAAAATTCCTTTTGTGCGTCGGTTTAAAAACAAATTCTCCAAATACCATCCACGTAGGATCGGTGTTGGGTGTCAATTTTTTTGATTTAGTTCAGCTTAAAACCGCTAACATTATTAGCAGTTATAACTTTAAAACTGCTAATAGTATTAGCGGTTTCAGAAAAGAGACCGCCTTTTACTATTAACAGCTCTCTTTTCTTCCTTACTTTGTTAAGGTCAATACGGAGGAAAAGAGAGCTGTTAATGGTAAAAGGAGGTCTCTTTTCCTCCTTACTTAAAGCACCTACAAGAGCGCCAAGGCTATTGCTAAGTTCAAAGAGACCAACTTTCAGTAATAACAAGTCTTTTTGCCTTTTTACAAAAAAAAAATACAAAACCGCTTGTTTGCGGTTTTAACATGTTTTAACATAAAACCGTTGACAACATTAGCATATTTAAGCCAAATCAAACACCAATCTTACCTGAACGGTACTTTGGGAATTTGTTTTTAAATTGGTGCATAATGGGAATTTATTTTGTTTCAATAATATTGATCATGGAAAATCACTTAATATTATAATATCTTTTACCAAGTCTACTTTGTCAATAAAATAAGTGAGGAGGGTATGATAGGATAAAGCAAATCTTTCTCTTAAACTTTGGACTAACTCTAGCTTGATTATAGGTGTTGTTTGGTTGACAAATAAAAACATGGAAAGTTGAAATTCCTAGGAATTGAAATTGTTTGGAGTTGTTTGGTTGACAAATTCATGGGAAGTAGAAATTCCCATGAATTCCCACTTCCCACAAAATGGAGGAAGTAAATTACTTAGGGGGACCTAGGTAAGTGGAATTTTCCATGAGACTTTCCACTTCCTTTAATTAACCAAACACTTTTTAGAATTTCCTAGAAAGTTCAATTTCATGGGAAATCAAATTTCCAAGGAATTTGCAATTCATGCGTTCAACCAAACAAGCCCATATTAACTATTAGTATTTTCTTTGTCCCTTAAAAAAAACTTCACTTTTCTTTTGTGTTGTTGAAGTGTAAATTTTCCAAACAATACATATAAGTATCCCACATTAGTAATAAAAGAAGTGAGAGTCAAAAACTTTATAAAACTAAAGGGCTACTCCTCTTCTAGCTAGCCATATAATTTCTTCTAGCTAGCCATATAATTTTGAAATGAAATCTTCTTAGACTTATGAAGTGAATTCTTTCTTAATAACGAGTACAGCGGTACATCCCGGACTCGAATTTAACATGTTCTCCCTTCGAGTTTGTCCCGTTAATTTTTTCCTCTCTTATCAACACTTAATTAAATATACATACTCCTATAGTTCTATAGAAAACGACATAGAGTAACATGTATTATTGATTTTGATTAAAGCGTGCAATGCAGCGTAAGAAAATATGGTGCTGCCATGTCCATGCCATGCTAATAATATGCCATAGTGATTAGAGCTTTGAATTATTTTAATTCAACTACTCGTATAATATAAATTATTAAATACTACTCCGTACTCGTATATTTTCAACCACTGTCTTCGAATACTTTCAAAAAGAAAAATTATATGAAAAAAAAAATTGTCTGCTTTTAAATTATGCAAACTGCTTTCGCAATCGGAAGAGAATAATGCCAGTATTAATGTGAAAATGGTCAGCTGATTAAGAGATCCACAAACATTATTAAAAGCAAATTATTGAATTCTTTAAGAAATTAAGAATCATTATACAGACGCCATCTGGTAATAATTGATGTCCTCGTCATTTTTGACCCTTTAATTAATTATTTAAGAAAATTTAGTGCGAGGGTTTTTCATTGATCCAAACTTAGACTTAGAATTTTTTTTTCTATGTTATTACTCTCTTTGTCTCTTATTTGTATGTCTATTTCTAACATTTATTACTCACATAATAAAAAGAAATAGACATGTAAATAAGGGATAGAGGGAGTAATATTTTTTTTTAATATAATACCGATAAGAAAGTAATGTTAAAGTGACCAAGGAGAAAATTAATTATTTACTAGTTTTAGGCTCTTTTTGGTTGGGAGGAATTGGGAGGAAAAGAAAAGAAAGGAAAGGAAGAATATAGATTCTTATATTTGGTTTTAAAAATTAAATTGGATTTGATAGGAAATGGAAGGAAAGGTCCCTTCACAAAATCTTCCCTTTTCTTTCCTCCCAAAATTGGAGGAATTTCAAGAGGAAAGAAAGAAATTAAATTTATTAAACTTAAAATTAGTTTTCTCTTCTCTTTCTTTCCTTTACTAATGTCATACCAAACAATAGATTCCTCTCAATTTCCTTCTTTTACTAATATCAAACCAAACATTGGATGATATATTTTCTTTCCTTTCCCTCTCTTTCTTTCCCTTCTTTTAGGGCCTTTTGGTTAGGGGGAATTGGGTGGAAAGGAAAGTAAAGGAAAGGAAAATTGATTGTTCCTTTATTTGGTTCAAAATATTATACAGAATTGATTGGAAATGAAAGGAATTGGATGGAAAGCTCCCTTAATTAAAATATTCACTCTCCTTTCCTCCCAAAATTGGAGGAAATTGACGGGAAAGAGAAAACATTGGATTCCTTTCACAATCTTTCCATCAAACCAAACATTGGAAAATATGGTTTCTTTCCTTTCCCTTCTCTTCCTTTATTTTCCTTTCCATTCCCTTCCTTTACTAACATTCAACCAAACAAAATGTATAATTTTAAACTACAAACCGATTGAATCCAAAGCGAATTAGGCTTGTTCTCTTCGATCCAATAAGATCCAATTTTCAGTCTAAATTGATTATTTGAACACTTTTAGCCAGGGATGCCTAAGGTATCACACTTATAATTATAATGATTACCCTTTGAATTTTTGTTTCCACAACAATGTATTGGTTGGAATATATGTGATTTTTGATAAATTGAATTAGTAATCATTATTTATACCTTGTTATGCAAGATCTTAAAACTTTATCACATAAATTTTCATGCAAATAGAATATAACAATCTATTGATCAACATATAAGAAGATACATATGTGAATCTGGATTTATAACTCCTAATTAAAAGATCAATTGTTTATACTTAAGACCACAAAAATCATGCGAATTACCTACAAAATCCAAGTAATCTCTAACTATAACTATTAGAAATGGTTTAGCGAGAGAGATTTCCATGAGTACTTTATGTTAAAACTAAAACGATAAAAGAGCCCAAAGAAATGTTGAACCCCCCTCCTCTATTTTTCTTCTATGGGTAAGATATTGCATATGTTGACATTATCATCAACTTCATTGATTAAATATATAAGAAAATAACAAGCGTCTTTCCAAAAAAAAAAAAAAAAGTCGGATTGACGGTCGTTTTCGATGGTCAATTTATATTTGAGTTCATGACATTTCAAGCATCCAAAAGGTTAAAAACAAAATTAATGAGGTTCGTAAGCATATCAATATATTTAATCAACTAGTTGACCTCTTACAAAGTTACAAATACAGTTAATATATTACTTCGTATTATACATTTATACTTATAAAACTTCATTAATTCATTTTAAGTCAATATGTTAAGTGTATCATTCATTAGATTATTGTCGGAATCTTTTTCTGAATAAATATTACTAATCATTTCATGGGTTTTAGGTGATGGATTGGTGTATTAGGTAATGAGTGAAATATTTTATACATACCCAAGTATACCGTGCATCCAACTAACCCAAAGTTAGTTTTTGCTCTTTATTTGATTATTAAATGAAAAACTATCCTCAAATGAGAACAAAATTCTTATTAGTGTACCGTGCACCCGAGTGTATATAACAATCTCTCGGTAATAAGACACACTTGAATTTGTGGCCTTTGGTATATAAATAGCATACTTCATACTGTTAGACCGATGACAAAATTGTTAGGTATGGAACGCGTTATATTGATTTTAACTAAATATTGTAAAATAAAACACTAATTAGATTATTTAGATTTGGATCCAAAATGGATTAAACTGAACCCATTGAATCCATACTGAAGTCGCCATTAATGGCATTGAGCTTAGCTATTTAGGAAAAATATACCGTACGCTATTATGATATCAAATTTGGCTTACATCATAATTAATAGCTAAAATAAAATAACGCATCTTGCATACTTTGTGTCATATGAGTATTATTTTGCACTGTAAACATTGTGAACATGCAAAGAAACTCTAACAGTATGTTTGGATATAGAAAGGGGAAGGAAAAGAAGGGGAGGAAGGAGAAGAGGAGGGGAGGGAAAGGGAGGGAAGGGAAGAATGGTGAGTCTTCCTTCCAAATCTCTTCATTGTTGGAGGGATTAATTTCCTACAATTTAATCCCTCCATTTCTCTCCCCTTCAATTCCTTTTCTTCCTCATTTATTATCCAAATGAAAGATATCCCATCTCTTCATTTTTCTTCCCTTCCTTTCCCTCCATTTCCTTCGATCCAAACACACCGTAAATGTTATCAGATACAAAATCTTATACACTACGAAATAAGCAAAAGACCAAAAATTACTCTTAGGCCTTGCTTGAATTGGGGTAATATATTAAGGGGATAATAAAAGTCAAACTTGTAAACACACAAGTGATTAGAGGTGTTGTAGGAGGCATGGTGTTTACAAATGAAATAAAGTAATTGTGCCATGAGGAAAAGAGAGAGATGAAGGAATTATTACCCTCATAATGAAGGTAATAGTTACCCATCCTCCCCTTAGTGTTACTATTACCCCCAAAATGAGGGTATTAGTTCCTCTTTTTTCACCTTATACCACACTATTACTACATAGTTTTCCTTACAATCATACCATCACTATTTCCTCCTTTTCTATTTTCATTTTCATTTTGTTTATTTTGACTTTTATTACCCTAGTGATACATCTCCCCCAATCGAAGCATGCCCTTAATGTCACATAATATTATAGCATATGATTACTTAGGTTTTAATTCAAGTTATTAATTGATAGGAGTAAGCAAAAGACCAAAAAACAATGCAGAACAAAACGTAAAGATGTAGAACTACAACGATCAAGAAGAAAATTGTCCTTGAATAGTACGAACATGTATCAAAGTTTGAAGTACTAATAATTCATCAACCTCTACAAAGTTTTACCAGAAATAAAAATCAGTGGGTTTAAATATCTGAGGCATCAAAAAAAGAGAAGTACCGAGTATCCTAGATTTGATGCCCAATTACAATTATTCTAAAGTACGGAGTATCGTCTATGGTCGTAATCTGCTACCTAACCACAGCTTTTCGATTTGTTTGCTTTCCATTTGAATTTTGCTTCCCAACTTACCAATAATTACTCTCACTTGGACAAGATATTTGTCCTCTCGGAAATGGTCGTTTCAACTTCTCAAAATTTGTTAGATTGTAAAGCTCGTCAGATCGAGTGTATTCCACTAATCAATATATAAGAGTTGCAATATATCCTAAATCTATATAAGGAATATATAAACAATGACAAACTTGAATATTGAAAGACTAACAACATTTCTAAATCATAGTAATGTCATAAATCATAGTGTGGATATAAATATCTAGTCGTAGTAGTAACAATACCAACTCAATATGCATATTGCATCACACGATTCACACTATCACCCCCGTTAACACAAGCCAGGTTGATCCATGAGAGGTATTGATCCGATAGGGTGCATTCTTCTTCCCTTAAATAAGAAAAAAAACACCCACTACCCCCCAACCCCCTGGTACTCAGAGAAGTGCATATACATGCAAATTAACAGAAATAGTTCAGATTAGCTAATATCATCTTATTCATTTAGATAGAACTCCGTATCATTCATGAAAAGGCCAAAAAAAATTGGCAACACCTAAAGTACTCTAAATAAGCAGCCACTAGGCGGACACATGATTAAGCAAAACTGAGACTGCGACATATTATGACTTTATGAGTGACAGTGAGTTGAGCAAAGATACAATAACAATTAACAAAGAGAAAGTGTTCAACAGACGTAGCCACCAAGTACTTTGACTGCTAGTCTGCTACCACTCTTCTTGATGGCATTGTTGTCTAGTATACCAGGCCAAATGAATAAAAAATGATCCCTCCTTTAATATGTCTGTGAAATTCAACAGGCTATTGAATATCCCTGGTACTCAGTATTACTTGTAGAATATATGTAGATCTGTAAAAGTAGCAATCGCACAAATTGCTCCATGAAATTAATTTCTGTAATATAATTCTGACACTATCATCAATAAAGTCAAAAAATAATTTGCTTTATCATGGAACGATTGTAGGAAATTAATTATAAAAACAAATACTTAAAACTCATGTCTTTAACAAAAATAACAAATTAGTGACCAGTGATGCTGAGTACATAAGGTGGCCACTGCTCAATTTCACTTTAAAAAAAATGGATTGAATGATAACTACGTAGAATAACATATCCGAATATTTGATCATATCTGGGTTTTTCTTTGACTCAAGATCTTTATTTTAAAAGGTGATGTTTAAAAAGCAAGGGGGGAAGCAGAAGAAAAAAAACAGAGAGATTTGGAATACTGCTTGAAGGGATCTGCTGACACAACACCTATGTAGAGAAATCATTCAAACTAAGTCTATAAGCGGAATATTGTTTTATCAGTTGCATGCAGGAGCAAAGCAACATTCCTATAAAACTTCAATAGAAGTTTCACAATATTCAGACTTCTAAGCCAAGGTCCTATGGAATGACATAATGCAAAATGTGGCTGGGTAAACATGAGCTCAAGACCAGAACCCCAAGGACAAACTTACCAAAGAGTTGCTTGATTGACGGCCTCTTAGGCTTGTTATCTTTCTTCTTCAATTCAGCTGCAAGTAGTCACCAGAATACGAACATCAAGAGCCATTATTAACTGAAAATATTAGACAATGGGGTGCAGTAAACAATTATATTGGGGTAGAAAGGCCTCAGAAAGACTCAAAGAAGATGGGCAACGATACAAACATTAAACAAGAAAAAAAATGACTGACTTAAAGGTTGTTAGTGTCTCAAATTGAAGACTTGAAAATCACACAACATCACTTAGACACCCATGCGGCCACGCTCACCATGATAAATTTGATATGGAGAATGTTATTCCAGCTCTAGTTTATGGTCCACAAGGATGTCAAATAAGAAGTTCCAAAGCTTATCATTTTCAACATGAATTATAAAGTGATCAATTTAATCTAACTATTCAAGATAAACACTGCAACTCTCTTTGTGATGAACCAAAAGAATCTTCTAATGAACCTCTATTTTAAGATGAAGCTGACAGGAATCAATTAAGATGCTAGTATTCATAACTTAATGCTAAGGTAACAATTTTCCATCCAATTCCCACCAAAAAAAAAAATTGCTTCAAGAATCCCTTGTGGTCTTGGCTGTCGTGGTACAACAGACAATCAAGCAACAGAGAACTTTTCACTATATTATGCAATGAGCCAATCAATTTAGACAAGTTCAAACTTCTCTTGTAAATTTACATTTATTTTTAATCTCTCATAAAGGCATAGTCACTAAACAGTCATTCTACCCATTAACCTTTAGGCCTTAGCATAGTACTTTAACATGGATTCTTTACATTGACACACTGACACCATTATGAATGCAATAAGATATTGAATCATATTGATTGCTCAGCATAAGCGGAAAATCAGAATAACTTTTGATTTATCAGATGTTCAGATAAACCAAAGGTTGCAGTTCCTTATTCCTGTCATCCTGTGACAAATTTTACTCGGTACTGAGTGACAACAGATTTTTTCTATGGTGTAAGACACGATAGTATCTGATCCCAATTACATCAAGAGAGGGCTTTAGGTTAACAAGGCTTATCACAATTACTCATTCATCCAATGTAGTATGTATCCAAATACAATTCAACTTATACACTCAATATTGTAATGTATGTATATATACAGGTCCATGTTAACTATTGCAGTATTGCACAGACGAGGCAGAAATAGATAAACATAAAATCAAGAGAACATGACTCGATTCATTAATGTACAGTGAATAACCATCCTTGCCTTAATACTTTCCCCAACACACCTCATACACATTTCGTGCCCTGTCTTGCAAGATCCAGAATGTTGACATTTCATTCATATTATATACTCAATTTATCTTTATCTAATGAAATAGTTTCTGCCTTGCATATGACAAGATCTTAATATGCTTTTCATTATTAAATGAATGTGTTTTTTTTTTTTTTTTTTTTTTTTTTTTTTTTTTTTTTGCAGGATTAAATGAACGTGTTTTTATCAAGGTGATATTAATTTTTAAGCGAAATGTGATTAACTTCAATAACAACATGCAAATGCAGTATGTTATGGATATACAATAAAACAAACAGTTTGGTTAGAGATGAACACGGTCCGGTTTGAGTACCAAATCAAACCAAATCGCAAAATACGGTTTGGTCAATTTTTCAAACCAAACCAAACCGTATTAGTATCCAAACCGGACCAAACCAAACCGTAATAATACGGTTTGGTGCGGTTTGGTTTATTTTAATTTATTTAAAAATTATATATATATATATATATATTAAAATACGGTTTACTGCTTTATGGTTTGGTTTGGTTTATAATTTTTGAAAAACAAAACCAAACCGTAAACCATATTTACAAAAAATCCTAAACTAAACCGTATTTTTATAAACCGCAAACCAAACCAAAACGCTAAAATACGGTTTGGTCCGATTTGGTTAAGGTTCAGACCAAACTGTGTATAACCCTAAGTTTGGTTACTGATTGTATGGTAACTCATTTTCTGAAGGGCTTTTGCAGTGCTTTCAGCTTACATTTTTAAATAAACCATGGTCACATTTCCTTTTCAACAAAGATTGGCTGTTGTCCTTAGACTCTTCAAAAGAACCAAAATCCTGAAGATAGATTCAAATTTACAACTACATTATCTTAAGATTCATGACACAAATAATTGAAGTTATTTTTTCACATTGTTTTTATCAATTCTCTTCTACCAAATCCACCTATGAAACCAACAAAGATACAATCAGAAAAGTGTGTAACTTTTCTTCATGCTATGTGTACTTTTTGGCATGCAAGTGAGATTGATGCAGAATGTCCCAACAGATTATTTAAAACCTGACAAAATCAAGAAGTACCTAGAATTTGGCAGTGAAATCAAATGCAATCGATTTTGGTTTTGAGGAACTTGGGGTTGCTAAGCGAGTAAGCGCTGATTCTGAACTCAAGAGCACCTAAATCCAATAATAAAACAATAAAATAGTTAAAACATTGCATATCCAGCTGGTAAAAAGAAATTCCTTGAAACAAAACAAATAAGAGAAAAAGCCCCTAAATCCAACAAAATTGCAATATAAAAAAAAAATTATAATCCTTAAACCTAAATGCATAAAAATGCAATAATTGTACGGAATAAAATTAACTGATACTCTAAACAGATTTAAAAATGCAAAACCTAAGATTTAAGACAAAGTCAGATATTTATAAAACTTGTCCATCAAATCCAAAATCCTTTGTGAAGCTGTTCAAAAGGAAATTTATAATCCTTAAACCTAAATGCATAAAATGCAATAATTATGTACCAAGAGCAGCATTTTGTAACAGTGCTGACCCTTTTTGCTAATTACCCACAAAGATGAATCTATGTTCCCAGGAAGACATCAGCCTTCTTCAGCTGGATAAAAATGCATGTAGTTGATACCTAATAGATGTCTCTACATTCATGTAACTGATTTTTATTTTTTTCAGCAATTAAATGGGATGAATAGATCACCAAAGGACTTTACATTTTTTATATGTACAAACCTCTGACATTAAAGTATTTAAACTTTGATATTTGCATCAGCACCCTCACCTTCTAGAAAGGATTGAGAGGGGAAAACTCTTCGTTTGCACAGAGTTCATAAGATCAAAGATAACCTCATACTCTCAGAATTTCAACAGGAAGCTCTGAAGAACATTTCTCTATAAACTAAACTGTTTGGCTTACACATTTGCCAAAAATTAAACTATATCACTGGAGCCAAAGATATAAGACCTCAGTGAAAATTAAATACCTTACAATGTCAACATTGAGCAGTCTTTGAATTTTCTTCCTTACAATTTTTATCGCTGCTGCCATTTCCACACCAAAACTTGCCGCTCTCCTCTGGATCCCCAACAACGGTAAATCTACCCCCGAATTGGCGAATAGCAGTAGAGTAACATACTAAGAGCAGATTTTGCATACTCTTTGTGGCCTGATTACAGGAAAAATTCCAATTATTTAACCTATCTGCTGGGCTTCACCTGTATGAAGAGCTTAATAGGCAATAGAACACTTTAAAGCCTAGAGTGTGGTTCAACTATTGCAGATGATGTTCCCCACCATGATACTTTGGGGAAATCCCCTAGAAGCAAGTTGTACTGCTTGTTGATTTTAGAAACTTCCTTTGCTCAGAACTGGATCCCAGCCATTACTGCTGCATAAGACCTCTAACGCTCGTACTTTCTTTACTATCCAGATCAGTAAGCTTATAGCAAACCTCGTCTTTTGATACAGCAGATATCAACCCATCTAACCTAAAGCTTATGTTTTTCAAAAGCTTAAGCCCACAGAAGTTTGGTGATAGCAGCTTTGTCCCCCAAATTCAGGTTTACCTGAAGATCTAGGCTTAAACAAAGTATCCCAAGATAAATTGTATAAAGGAGAATTTCTAATACTATCTAACAGTCATATCACCCAAAATGGTCTTCAACATGACTACTGCCAGTCTGCCACCTAAAATAAAGTCATCAGCACCTTAATTACCTGCATTACTTTAGAGGCAACAGCTCAAATCTGCGACTGCATCTTTAAAAAAATCTTTTAGGATATTCTCAACAAGTCAACAGTTAGTAGCAAACTAGCAACATTATCCCGATGTTATGTGATTAACCAGCTAGATGCTCGTCCTTTTCTAATATTGTTTATTTCCATTGTATTTCTGACCTTTTTTGCATCCTCCCATTGTTCCACATCAGCATACATGTTGTGAAGCAACACATAGGATGCTGAACTTTCGGGTTCAAGCTTTGATAGAGCCTCTGAAGCAACTTGAGCCAGCTCTACATTGTTATGTATCCTACAAGCTCCTAGCAGAGCACCCCATATGGTTTTATCAGGCTTGTGGGGCATGCTATAAATCAAATCCATGGCCTCTTGTAGATTGCCATGACGAGCCACAATGTCGACTAGTGCAGCATAATGTTCGATCTTGGGTTCAATTCCATAATCCAAAAGCATAGACTCAAAATACTTGTGGCCTTCTTTCAGTAAGCCAGCATGTGCACAAGCATTCAAGACTGATACAAATGTAATAACAGTGGGAAGCACTTTTAGCCTCTTCATTTCCTCAAAAATCTCTAAAGCTGCTACTGCGTATCCATGAGATGCATATCCACCTATAATTGCATTCCAAGAGATTACATCCTTCTGCATCCCCATCTCATTAAACATGATCTTGGCCTCTGTTATTGCCCCACACCTTGAGTACATAGTAACAAGTGAATTATTGATAGGTACATCTGCAATAAGTATTTTGGTAATCAGCTGATGGATCTGCCTGCCCAAATCCAGGGCAGCAAGGCCAGTACAGACACTAAGAACTGATGATAGAGTGTGCCTATCAGGCCTCACCTCCTCAGCCTGCATTTGTATGAACAACTTGATTGCACCTTCATAGTCTCCATTCTTATCACATCCTGCAATTACAGAATTCCAAGAGACAAGATTTCTCTGTGGAGCCCTGCTGAAGAAATCAAGAGCAGATTCTAAGTTCCCATTTTGGGCATAGCCTGACACCATCATATTCCATGACATTATATCAGTGTTTGGCATTTGTGAAAAGAGTTGTGCTGCTTGTTTCATATCTGAAGCTTGAACATAACCACTAATCATCGTATTCCACGAAAATGTATCCCGGTCTACCATTTGATCAAAAAGTTTTCTAGCAGAAATGACGTCACCCACTTTTATATAAGCCATAATCATAGCATTCCATGACAACACATTCCTCTCAAATCCCATACTTTCTCTCATTCCTCCATTTGGGCAATATGACAATTGATCAAAAAGACTTCGTGCTTCATTAACTCTTCCCTTTTGCCCATATCCTGCAATCAAAGTATTATAAGCCGGGACAAGATCTCCCCTCTCTTCGCCAACTTCTTTTCCACATTCAAGCAAAATTTCCTTTGCCTTGTCCCACTCATCAATACGAATCAACCCTGATATAAGTGCACTAAATGAAGAGGCATCCCTATTCGGCATTGCCCTAAACCACTCAATAGCTCTACCAGCATCACCATTATGTAGAAAACCAGTCACCATTGCATTCCAAGTGATAACATCCCTCTCGGCCATTCTGTTAAAAAGGCATATAGCATCATCCATTCTCCCAACCCGAGCATAACCACTGATCATTGTATTCCAAGAAACCATATCTCTCTTAGGCATCTGATCAAACAATTGCTTACCCTCCTCAACATATCTCATCCCACCCCCACGGCAAGAAACATAACCTGAGATCATCAAGTTCCATGACACAACATCTCTCGCTCTTTCAGGCATTTCATCAAACAACTTGCGCGCTTTTAAAACCTCTCTATTCTTAACATATCCACTCATCATTGAATTCCATGTTATGGTATTTCTTTCAGACATTCTATCAAACAGTGATCGCGCTTCACTGAACTGACCTAATCGGATAAGTTGAGATATGCGCTTGTTCCAACTACGAATGTCAGGATATTCAGCACTATAGTTTTTCGACACGAAATAACACATGGGTCTTCCCCAACAAATTGCCAATCGAGATGGGCAATACAGAACTCTTTCTAACCGTGCTCGCATTTTTTCTAATATCTAGTAACCCTCACAAGTCTGAAGCCATTGCTGACCTATTCAGAAAATTAAGTAAGTGGCAGGAATTAAATCTAACCAAAATTGTTTGAAAACAATAGAGTATTAGTTTATCATAGTTTCAAGTCTACAAATTCCAAAGTTGTGAAAAAAGCAAACAATTTTCATTTACAGCTATAACAGCAAAATTCTCCTATTTTCAATCAATAATTAATAGAATTCAGTATATAAAATACCGCTCCTTTCAATTCAGGTACAAAAAGTCATACATTGAGAAATAGAGCAATTTAATTGAAAAGAATAATTGATTTGATTCAAATAAACATATAATGCCATAAAAATATATAGTAGGATAAGCTAGAACAAAGTTCAAATGTATAATACGAAGTATACCTGAAGATTTTAGCAGTAAAGGAGAAGTGAGGAGTGGAATTTGGGGCAAAGATGTACAAGAAAAGAAACCATAGTCGCATAGCAAAAGAGCAACCTAGCATGAGCTTATTGGTTTTTGCCCTTTTGGGTACGACTTGGCATGAAAAATTGAAAAGTGCATGTTCCTTGGGAGTAGCCAACAGGCTTGATCTAGTGTTGCACGAGCATACCATTTTTGTGTTCGGCTCGAGCCTTGCCTATCCAAACTCACTAGCCTATATTAGAATGACCTAGACTCATAACGATTCTGGTTAAGATTATGCGAGGTCGTATATTCTTTTAAATACATGATGGGCTTGGTTCCATTTCGAGTATGAATTGTGTCAAGTTGTCAAGTAAATTCAAATTAAGATCATGTTTGAGACTAATAACTAACAAGTCTAACTCAACATTAAGTAGAGTCAAAGTTTGAATCAGAAAAATCTTTTTGATAAAGATTGCAAAAACTGTTCAATTTATATTATGTGAGTTTTCACAATTTTCGATTATCTTTATTTATGCCTTATGAATTCAATTTTTTGTAGTGTATTCAAGTTTTACAACTTGAACGATTATAGCTTTGAAATTAGATGATTGATCAATGAAAATGATTGGTTTTACTTCAACTTGTTCCAGTTTGGGTATTAAATAAGATGGTATTGACTTCTAGTTTTATGTAAGTTTTGTGGTTTAACTAATGGCAGGTCTATGTAGCGAAGAGTTAGATAAAATTGGTTACAAGTCACCATAGGGTTTGGGTAATTGTCAATTTGGGTTAAATCGGTTGTCAATTAATACTAGGTTGAATACCCGAGTGCATGCATATATTATAGAGTATTGGGTCAAATTAATTGTCAGTTATCAATTAAGTTGATTTTAAGTTACAGGTCACTAGTATCACTAGTTATTCAAATATAGGTCGGGAATGAGCTGCTGCTAGTACACATCGGGTTATCAAGTTTTTTGAGCTTTAATTTGACAACTTTAGGAAAAGATGGGGAAAATAGAAAGAATTGATGACCAAATGAACTCTTGCAATTGAAAGAGTTACACATTAGGTGTCACATTTGCACTTTAAAGTTAACCCCTTATGTTGTCTTTTAAAAAGCACTTAGTCTTTTGTCCCATGTAAAAGACATTTCTTGGTACACTTTATTTTAGGATATTGTTAAATTAGGATGACTTAATTAAAAAAGAACAAAAGGAGACCTTGTCTTAGTAGGAGTGTAAACACCTAAAAATGTCTCCCCGACCAAAGCCCGATGACGAAACAACCTCTCATTGCCTAATTTGGTCCGGTTCGTGTAATGGATCTAAAAATTACTTGAAAAATCCTTTAGTTATAGGCCAAAATTATTTTTAAAGCCATTTATCCATTTCGTTAGCCCAAACTTAGCCCATTTTCCCTTTTCACAACTCCACTCCCAAAATCGGTCAAAACTGAATTTCGTGCATCATAATTTTTATCCAAATCTTGGATTTTTGGATAGCCCTTGAAATAATATTTCCAATGATATATCATACGCCCAATTCCGATTAGAAACAAAAAAGATATGATTAAATTACCAAACTCTATCCAAAACTGGCACCGTTCCACTATTTCGATCATATATCAAATTATACAAAAGATATCAATCTTATTCCAATTGGGTTGAAAAGTAGACTTTTAGATATTTTCAACGATATATTATTTATCTTTTTCCAATTTCTGGATCAAAAGTTATGATAAAAACAAAAACCGTAAAACTGTTGTCCCTTGCTACGCGTTTTCGAAAATCTATCTTCTTTCAAAAATCTATCTTCACCCAATTTTATGCCTATAAATACAACCATTATTTCTGATTTTTAGAGGAGAATGGGACAACCATATAAATATTTTATCAATCCCAAATCATCCCAAAAGGATTAGACTTAAAGCTTCGACGTACAATTTCTATTGTTCTTAGCTTTATTTCTAATCTTATTCAAGTAATTCAAAGTCCAAAACAAGATCCGGAGGTTCTACCTTTTTGACCAAGGCGTGAAGGTATAATCCCGAGGGTGATATATTAATTTCTCTAACTCTTTAATTTAATTCTTGTGAATTATATTTTTTTATTGAAGTTAACAATTTATTCATGATATAGTATTCAAAGTTGTACATTTGGAGTGAGTATTTAGTTCTTTGTTTTATTTACTCTAATTATTTATATTGGGCCAAATTAGAAAATAACACCTATTAAAAACCCCGATTTTGATAATAACACCTGTTGAAAAAAAAGTTTTATTATAACACCTACAAAAATCCCAAAATTTTGGTTTCACCACCCACTAACGGACTTTTGGATGGAAACCATTAGTGGGGCCCGCCATGTACACGTATCAGCTGTGTATTGGTTTAAAAAAAAGAATTTTTTTTTTTTAAAAAAAAAACCTAACCCAGCCAGCCCCACCACCGGCAACACCTACCCCAGCCAAGCCGGCCGCCGGAACCCTCTTAACACCTAGCCAGCCCCAGAAACCTCCTCCCCTAACACCGACAACCCTTCCCTAACGCCGGCATCGCCCGATATCCCCTCCCCTAACACCGACAACCCTTCCCTAACGCCGGCATCGCCCGATATCCCCTCCCCTAACACTGATAACCCCAAACCTCCTCCCCTAACACTGGCATTCCCCTAAACAGCCAATTTCGTTCGCCTCCACCACGAAATCGACAGATTTGGGGCTTCTAAGGTCGATTTCGGCCGGTTTGAAGGTGAAGGATAATTCCAAGGGTGGTTTTCGGCGAAGGGGCTAGGTGGTTTTCGACGAGGGGGCGAAGGGGCTAGGTGGTTTTCGTGGGGGGGCTGTGGTGGGTGGGGGTGATTTTTCGGGGAGAGGGAAGGGGGAAGGGGATATGCGGGGGTGCTAATGTCGGTGGGGGTGATGGCTGGTGATTCCGCTAGTGAAGGAAGGGTTTCCGGCGGCAGTGGGGGTCTTTGGCGGTGGAGTGACGGCTGCCGGTGGTGGCTGGGTTAGGGTTTAGGGGTTTTTCTTTTTTTTTTTTTTTAATTTTACTTTTTTTTATTTATCTTTTTTTTAAACCAATACCTTATTGACACGTGTACATGGCGAGCCCCACTAACGGTTTCCATCCAAAAGTCCGTTAGTGGGTGGTGAAACCAAAATTTTGGGATTTTTGTAGGTGTTATAATAAAACTTTTTTTTTCAACAGGTGTTATTATCAAAATCGGGGTTTTTAGCAGGTGTTATTTTCTAATTTGGCCTTTATATTGCTTTGATTACTAGCATATGTTTAGAGTCGTATTTTTAATTTTTTAGTAACATGCTAGGATTTTATTAATCTGTTTAGTATTATGCCTAGAATCTTACTACTAACGATATTTTTTATGATGATGATTATTATGATAATTAGATGTTGCTTGATTATCAATGATTTGTTGTTATTGCTTGATCACGCCCCTTTTTGGAGATTTAAAGGGAAATTGAAATTGAAATCACGCCTAATAAGATAATTAATAATTGGATTTGGGTTTAACATGATTTTAATTCAAGTGATCACAAGTATTAGATTTAATTGTGCATTAATAATCAACCAACATAGATTAAACAGGTTTAGGATTAATTTGATGTATGTATGTTGATCGAGAAGCGCACATGAACGTCAATAAGAATCAAGTAGAGGCCTATTCTAGGGCGGGTTTGACCTCTTTGAAAGTCAATTTCGTACCATCATCCCCGAACATCCATTCATGGTTGCAGACCACTATGGAGTTAGCAACCTCTGTGATTGTGAATGGGGTGTAACCTTCATAATCGTGAACGGTTTACAAGTTCCTAAAACATGTTGGTGACTCTCTTTCTCTAACCTTTTTCCTAGGATCGCGGGCATGCCTAAAAACATGACCCACAGTAGGGCGAGATAAAAACTCCCTACAGTTTTTGATGACTCCAGTGGGGAGGATTTAGTTAATTCCTAATTTGTTTGGCAATTAATTAGAATGAGTGGATGAGACTTGAAAGATTCTTGATGTTCATGCGTGTAATTTTGATTAGCATTGTGGCATAAGCATAAAAAGGTACGCATTGGAAAGACCTTATGTAATACGTCGAAACATAGGAATACACGTTAGAAAGGCCGGAAATATTTTTCACAACTAAAATCGGGAAGATGCTGCGAAAATCGGAAAAAATATCAAAGATCGAGTCTGCCGCAGAGACCAGAATTGTCGCGAGGCGACAATGGTCAACGCCGGACGACAACCCTGTTGCGTCGCGACAGGGTTGTCGTCAGACGATGAATACTGCCGTCTTGTGACAAGATCTAGCGATTCAGCGTCAGTCCTCCGTCTTTGCGTTTTGTCTGATTCTCGTACTGTCTCAACGATTTTACTTCCTGATTAAGTTTTTTTGACCTTTCTAAACCCATATGTGTTTTACATGTGGTTTTAGCCCTTGGGAATTCATGCTCCATCAACCCTAATAAACGCTCCGTGCAAAAACGGTTCATCCGAGTTTGTTGAATTCACCAAACCATGGAGTCGAGTTTAACTCGCGGGGTCCCATCCATTGCACCAACCCTTTTAAGGTAAGGCTTCCATGTGATGCATCTGAACTCTTAATTATGGACCCTCTTGGAAACCAAAATCTTTGACCTTAGAGAACTAGAGCTATGGTTAGGTTGCAAACTCCTTGCATCATGTTGTGACTACTTGTGCATACCTTGTATGTGATTAAACTAACCCTTTGCTTTGACTTGTTTCTTGTACATATGCCTATACATACTAACCCAAAGGCTAAAAGGATGTTGCTTAATTAATTTGGTTAATTAAAATGAACCCATTAAATATAAATATGCTCGACCTAGAATACTTTAGGCCTAAACCTTCGAAAGAACGACTGGAAATAAGTCACTGTGATGCTTCAATATTGGCGCACCACTTTAGATTTGTGGCGCTTGACGATGGTAACCATCGTGCTGCAATAAGCTTGTCGCGTCGCGAGGAAGCCATCATCACGCGACAGACCATCGCCACGCGACGATTCCGTCTTTCTTTCAGAGTCTTTAAATCGAGTCCCACTACTATGGTTAACTAGTTTTAATGTCAGTATACGGTCTTTTCCTTGGTCTTGCATAAATCTTCCCACATGTCTAGTCACAT